CGGCTGCTTCAAAAAAAGATGACTTTCAATCTTCTTCAGGATTAATATATGCTATAAATAATTAGGAAAGGTGATTGGATAGAACGTACTAGAAAGGCAATTCTGCCTACATCCCAAAAAGAGGTCAAGATGCTGCGTAGCTAGCTCTATGGCGCCGCAAAGGTTAACTATGTGCATTTGAAAGGGAGCGATGCACAGCCTATAGAAATCTCCTAGTAGGCGAGGAAAAAGGATAGACCAGACTGCACTACTTTGTAGCAGCGCGCCATATAAGCTTACCGTTACCTACGGGATCCAAGCATCATGCTTCATCTTCGTACTACTTCCAATAAATAAGGTATATTTATTTGTTTATGAAGCACAATGTATGTATATATGCGTATGTATATGTACGCATGCGAACCAATAGTTCCAAAACAAACTTCTAAACCAAGCCAAACTTTGCACACATACATTGGCACGTAAGCTACGTAAAAGTTATCGTAGTTATTTGGAAAAAAGCGACTTTTTGTCTACTTTTTTGCGCTCCCCAGGTTGTTGAAAATTGACACATAGGTTGACTGATTATAAATTTGAGTGTCACTCAATGATTTCGATTTATTTTTTATATTCTCTTTTACATTTCCGCTCTAGGATACTGGAAATTGGTGCATTGGAATAAACTGATGTACTGACCGTGAATATGATGACCGATTTGAGGTTTATCGATTGATTTTATTGAGTCATTGATTTTTTGAAGTTTCCGCTGTAGGTACTTAAAATTGGTGTACTGGACTCGAACGGATGCTGACTGACATCATCATTTAGGGTGATATCTACTGCATTGTCCAATTTAATGGTTTTTCATATTTGCTCTCGGCTATTAGTAATAAATGTGAAAAGTAAGTTCAAACGCTGAATAATGATATGCCAATCAGAAGTCTATCTTCGCCAAATTCAATTTAATGCTAAATTGTAAAGGAAAATTGTGCTTTTCTCAGAAAAATCGATTCAAAACTAAGAAAAATGTGGCCTATTTTGAAACAGCCAGGCTTAAGAGGGTAGGCAAGCTAGATTTGATGGAGGAAAAAAATCTTTTGGTAAAATAACCATGCAATAAAATAACCTGCAGGCGAAAAGACGGCTAACTTTGTCATTCACACAGACTATCCTATTGCAAAAATTCGGCCCCCTCATAACTTCCTAGCTCACTTGGCTTTTGAAGCTTCATGAAAACTCAAGCTAATGTTATAATGTAAACCTAATCCACTCATTTTCCTAATGAACCTAAAATATTTTGAATTCAAATACGTCGATCAGAACTATTGGAGCAAACCTCACATTTACTTCTCGCTTTTGTGAGATAGTTCGCATTGAATGCGGTCTGTGCAGCTTCCTCTGGAGTAAGTTCGTTGACGGAAAAGAATGATTCCAATCGTTTAAACTCTGCGGTGATTTGCTGTAAAGGGTTGTCATCGAACAAAACACTGGGATTTTGATGTATTCAGCAACTAGAACTAACCATTAAGTGACAGTTGAATTTGCCAGGCTCAATCAGTACAGACCATTTCACTCTGCTACTCATCTGTTCCGCAAATCGCGAAATACGTGCCGCTATTTGCGCAGAAACCTCGTCTGGTTGACGGAACCAATTATGAAGAGGATCGCGCTAAAGTGACACCGTAATCAACTGTAATGATTACATTTATGTAAGTGTTGAATTATGGCAGAATTGATGCAAATTCTCCTTTTTAACTGTGCCGATCCTTTTCGTTCCATCTTTATTATACCTAACATAGAATGTCCCCAAAAATGTGATCAGTGTTTGATTGTTACTAACTCTTCTTTAGACCTAACAATTCAATTTGAAGAATTCTTGAAACCCAAGTTTTACTCTACAAGTGGATACCTGCCAGTACGATTATGGTATAAAATTGCATGTGGATCTAGTGCTGACAACACTAAAGGCATGGGCTCTACATCGTTCTAACAACGTTCAAAGCACACTTGATAGGGTTATGTAGTAAGTTAAGCTCAACCATGACAACCATTGAAGCTGGGTAGTGCTTAGCGACAGCTTTAACACCGCTTATGGCTTGAAATCGTAATCTTGCCATGCTCAAAAGCACAAGATCCATGTCGGAGTTTGAATGTAGTTGAAGGGTTTACCAATAAATTTGTGGGAAATCCGTAACCAATTTTTGATTACACATACACTTTTC